CTTTATCCACTTGTCCCGAAGAATTGTCAATTTTGTGTGCTCGATCAATATACCATTGAGTTATGTAAGAAGAGGAAGCAGGATATGGAACTGATTTCATTAAAATCCCATCAAAGTCCCATTCCTCTGGCTCTTCCTGTAGTATTTGTTTCTTTAATATAGGATTTTCAACCCAATCATAAACTCTCCATGGTTCTTGATGCCATAAACATTCTGAGAGTTCGGCACCATCATTTAAACCAACTCTTGGTAAAAAGGATTCATAGTCATCAGGATCAGCTGTCTCAGGTATTTGTTCAAGAATGGTAAACCGGTAAGGTAACATCTCGTCCCCATGACGTGTAAACAGAATACTCAAACCATCGAAGAACTCATCAGCTGCGAAATCCATTGCTTGTGCGGCGATATGTACTTCACGAAATATTTCATAATCCTCAGCAAATGTCGCATTATAGTCTATGAATGTGATCCAACCCCCATTTTCTTCCGATGAGTCCATGGACCCATTTTCAATATCTCGTCTAGTTTTCTCTTCCACAATTCGTTCATACGTACATAACCTATCTAAATACTTTAGGAAATAATACCGGCATCTGCAAAAGGTTTTTTGTATTTCTGACAATTCAATATTGTTCAGAAATTTTTGAACGTCTGAATCGACTTCCAAAGGATTTTCTCGCAATTTTTTTTTGATCAAATTATCAGTAGCGGAAACATTATCGTTGTCTAAAATTTCATCTAGAATATCTGTATGGTCCAATCCGTAGCATAATAAAAGTCGGATTATTTGAGGATTTTTGGTTATTCTCTTGAAACAAGCAGCTAACACCCATTCTTTGTCATGAATTTTATCAAGGTAATCGTGAATAGCTGTTTCAGAGACCTCTGCATCTTTCCAACGGGCTTGATATATTATATCTGTGTCAAGGTCATATGTTTTGGCAATTACCAACGCATCATCATATTCAAGAGCGCTGATTTTGCGTTCGAGTAAATCCTGAGGCAAGATTTTACATATACGATTAAGTTGAAATGTCCTTTTTGATATTGTGATAAATCTACCACGTATAGTTGAAAAATCATTTTCAAAATGCCACAAAAATGTATCCGCTACATAATGCAAGGAATTTGTAATTGCAGATATCAATCTACTCATTTGTGACGTGGAATCTTCAAATTCATCATCTTCCATCTCATCCTCTTCTTGTGCTCTTGAATATGATATTATGTTACCGCCATGAACACGAGCTCTGATTGATTTGACCTCATGTTCAATAACTAAAAAACAGTTATTACATTGGCAGGTGATCTCATAGCAAGATTTAAAATTTTCAGGAGAGTCGCCTAATATATTACGCATATCTGGGAGACTAGCAATAATAACTGAACCATTTTGAAATCCTAGGATCAAAGCATTATTGGCCCACCATCCTATCGACAAAACTTTTCCATTTTCCAATCCGGGGATTCCAGATACATCACCGCTATCATTCTCAATTTCAAAAATTTTATCCTGAAATTTCTCAAAAGATAAATTTTTGTATTCCTTTCCTCTAGCAAAGTAATTTAAGTGAGATTGATCCCATGACTGATCAATTACAACACTTTTGGATGTAGAAATTTTCCAAAGGCTGACTGTTCCAGAAAAATCTAAAGTTAATAGATATTGATTATCAGGCGACGGGATCATACTATAAACGATTTCGTCGGTGAAACTTTTATTTACTTTACGCCAAGTTGCAAACACATTTTTTAATCTAGAAAAGAATCCGATATCATCAACGGATCCCTGATTTAAATCTGATATACCATCTATAGATTCGTCTACCATTCCTTCTAACTCGAGTTTACGATAAAAAGGACGATCCGGTAATAGCATCCAACATACAACAGAAGGTAAAGTTAATGCATCTTCATTTTCATTGTTAGGCTTTCCACCTAAACAAAGTAATAATCCATTCAGAGTAATTACAGAGCCACAAACAACTGTAGAAAGCCATTGTTTAAAAGAAAATTTGTGATAAAAAGCAAAGTATCCTGGATCAGAAGATCCTTCGCGTGAATAAGTAATATTAACTTTTGCTCGCCGTGATATAGTTTCATTACTATTCAAAGTAGTAACAGATTCAATAGTATTAAGTAAATAACTACGAAGGACACCATCATAAGTGATAACAATCAATTCGTATTGGTAAATATGGCCTTCATAATATAATGGTTTATTTGACCCACATTTGGGATCCACAAAGGATATAAAAGCCACTGGCTCGAGAAAAAAGCTTTGACCAGCTTGGGGATCATTTTCTACATCTGAATTAATATTGGAGCTAGAAATGATCATACAGACCAATTGCCCATCTTCATTGATGATTTCAATTGACCCGTCACTTCTTGTAGCAGCTATAATTTTAGAATCTAAGCTCCAAGCGAGACGTCTCCACTTGGAAAAAGCGTCCCGCTTTGAATTATAAATGACGTAATTTTTTTCAAACCCACTTTCACTAGTTCGAATTTCGATCTTGTGTTCTTGCAAGACCGCAAGATATTTTCCGTCTGGGGACAATTGCATTAGCCATTCGCTCGTTACTTTAGGGCGTTCTTGTAGAAGAGCAGGTGGAACAGTTGTAGAAATTACGAGCCCTTCTAAGCTACGTTTCAAACGGTGTGTTACTTGTTTGAAGACACGTCTTGGAAACTGTGCGTAAGACGGATCTTCCTTAGCGTATGTGTTGATTCGAGAATCGGGCTCATGAACGGTTAATTCATCATCGGGCTTCCAGGTAGCAGCTACTTCGATATCGTAAAGTATGCGTTCTGAATGATTTTCGGATATCAAAAGGTCAGACATTCTTTTTTCACTTTTGATCTCATTATAAGTTGTTGCGAAGACGGGTCTGTTGAACTTCTAGATGGTTAATGTTAATTTGGAGGTATAATCCGTTGATCTAATATCGAGTCACACGATTTGTCACGCAGATCACGGGAGTAAAGTTTTCTATACTTTTATTCTGGTTTTTACTTTATGTGTGCTCTTATACATTTATGCTTTTATACTACCTTTCATATTATCATTTATATTTAGTATATTTATTTATAGATGATAAGGCGAAATTGAAGCTTGACTTAAGGATTGGAAAATTTATGGAAAGCATAATTTTTATCTTGCACGCTTTGACCGGATGTCCAGCACGTGATATCTTACTAAAATATGATTGGGCAAGAGCTTAACGTTAATATACATGTGCTGAGAAATGACAATTTTTCAAATGATATTTTTTTTACATAAATCGATTTAAAATAAGATTAGAATCATTATTTACTTAAGACACAAAAGTAATTGTATTACAGCTATTATCATTATTTCTGGGACACCTAAAGAATTTTCAGATGACCGAAATATCCTCTGTTTCATTCGGT